TATGACTAACATATATGCAATGTGTTCAACATAATGGTACTTCTTCCAGCTAACTGTTAACGATGGTGTACCACAAGGTTCAGTCTTAGGACCAACCCTCTTCACAATCTACATAAGTAATGTAGGTTAAATTTCCTAATCTTCCTTATTCCTTAGATAGAGAAATTTACTAATTGTTTTTTTTATGTATGTGAACGTTCCTGTAAAGTGCCCTGAGACAACTTTGTTGTGATTTGGTGCTATATAAATAAACTGAATTGAATTAAATCATTCCTGATGCATCCTTACCGTTCTATGCTGGCGACACAGATGTTTATTGTTGAGTTACTTAGAACAGTTGCTACGGTTTTCCAGCTTTTACAGTTTGCTTTTGACATCATCCAGTCAGATTTGTTCCATCTCAAACTTGTGATAACTGCTGATAAAACTAAAGGGATGTTGTTTTCAAACAGGAAGTTGGTACCAGCAGTCCTTCCTTCTATTTTATCTTAGAATGGTGTCCCTATTGAGTTTGTCAATTCTTATAAATACTTGGGTATTTTGGACGATTCACATCTCTCTTTGAAGCCTCATGTTGAAAACCTGGTAAAGAAATTGAAAGTAAAACTGTGTTTCTTTCTTAGAAATAGATCCTGTCTAACTCTGAACGTTAGGAAGCACCTTGTATCTGTGACTTTCCTTCCCTCCATTGACAACGGTGACATTATTTACATGAACGCTCCTGCAAGCACCCTGCAGATGTTGGATACTGCCCATCACGGTGCATTAAGATTCATAACTGTCTTTAACTACTGTACCCACCACTGCACCCTATATTCACTGGTTAAATGGACATCATTAACTTCACGCAGACTCTCACACTGGTACATTTTGATTTTTAAATCACTTCTTGGTCTGTTGCCTTCATACCGTATATCTCCTCATGTCACTCCGTGTGTGCAGCTACAGTGTGCACTCTCAGGACATAATTACCTGCAGCGTCCCCTCAGTGTGGACCGAACTTGGCAAAAGGGCTTTAACTTACTCCACTCCTGTATCCTGGAAACTGCTAACAAATTTATTTATTTTTTACAAACTCCTTGAAGTTTTTAATTTTCATTAATTCAACCTTTATTTATACAGGTTAATCCCACTGAGCCTCGGAGACTCATTTACAATAGAGATCTGATTACCATTTTTTTTACCATTACAATCTTTTTGCAAGGAACACCTTGCAAAAACATTTGAAGCTCTCAACCTTGACCACTCTAAGGGATTTTAAGTGTCTGTTAAGTTCATGGCAAACCTCAATGCAGACATGTCCCTGTTGTTAGTATTTTACATCACTTTATAATGTAGATGCTTTTGTTACATTTTTTATATAATTTCTTCTATTTACTTTTCATTTTGCATGCTTTTTACATGATTGTCTATTGTTGTCCGTACCTCATCTGTGTTCTTTGTTTAAAACAGGTCTCTCTTGTAAATGAGTCCTCGAGGCTCAGTGAGACTAAACTGTATAACTAAAGGTTGAATGAATGACTATTACATTATAACTTTATTGTCTTACATTATAAATGTTTTTAGCCTAGACTTCTTGGGTTTCAGTCTCTATTGCATCCTATATACATCAGCGTCCCACAGTGAACTCAGCTGGTAAAATAATGTTAACATCTTTCAATAAAAAAAATTAATAAACATACACATTTTTTAATGTAATTTGGTATTTTAATGTGTCATAAACAACCTTTAGCAGAATAGTGAAATAACAACATATTAAGGCTAGTTGGAGATCTCTTTAAAACTTTAATGTTAGAAAATAATAAACGGACGTATCGAATCTGGGAGTCAACCTTATAGATAACACAGAAATGGCTCTGTCTTTTTACTTATTAGATAACACAGCTCTGTCAGTTTTACTTATTTCAAGCTATTTTGGTGTGGTAGTAGCCAAGTCATTCCCAACACATACTCTGAGCATGAACAGATCTCACAGTATCACATTACGCGACTCTGTCATTTATCATAAGATGATCTTAGTGCAAATATCTGATATGAATGGCAGCGCAGGCAATATGCATTAGTATGGTAAGAATGTTTTAAAATTCTTCTTTAGGCAGTCTTCCTGTCTGGAAGAAGTGCTGTTTTATTGTCGTTGAAGGCAGCAAACACGTTAAAGTCACCCGAGTTTCAGGATGACTGATTGTCGTCATATACGCATGAAGTCATAACATGTCTGAACTCATCATCATCTCATCCTGACATTACATAAACATATCCACCGGGAAAATCGCGTCCTATTGGTTCAGAGACATGTCAATCACACAAAGCATTGCGTCACGCTCCTGAATGGTGGACTGTGATTGGTCCAAAGCTATGCATGGTACCTCATACTAGACTGTAATTGGCTGATTCTTACCATTGCCGAACATGGTAAAGAAGATTTCGCAATCGGCTGTTCTCCATGTTACAAACAAAAACACATTCTGAGCTTCGACAGACTGATATAAACGTCTACTTTTTACTTCAAGTTCCTCTATATCTACCGACGGGTAACCCCACCGCCGCCTTCTGAAGGTAAATCTAATTTCAGGCTTTACGGATCGGAAATTCGCACCGAGCAGAAAACACGGTTCTTGTTAGCGTCTGAAGCTAATCAGCTAGCTGGCTGAACGGTGGAGTTGTAGGAAACCTGTAGAAATATGTCACCGCTCGTGCTTTAAGATCAGTTTTTGTCCCATGATAGTTTATATTCATAATAGGAAGGTGAAAGGTTTTGAGTTGGACCGAACCAGCTGCTCGAAAATTGAACGAGCAGTCAAAGTGCCGGGAAGTAGCCTAAATAAATATAAATATTCAAATCTAAACTGCGTGTTCGAATGAGTGAATCTCTTCGGTTGGTATTAAGTTGGCTGAAGCTCACTTTATTTTTCTAAAAGGTTAGGTTTGTGCTTAGCCCTGCATGACTCCGGAGTTCCCCGCTACTGATGATGCAAGAGCGGGCAATAGCCAGTGTTTTCACCCGGAGCGCTTTGCGCTGCGCACAGCTGAGCCGCTGCATAGCAACGCGCTGACCAATCAGAGCGCAGCTACAAATGGACAACGCGGAATGGTCACGTGACCTGGGGAAAGAGGCAAGGGGAAAGTTGAGGTGAAGGTGGGCAGCCAGGTGAAAACAGCTCAGGTGTGTTTACAGCTGAGACCAGAAAAAAAGAAAAGACTGAGATGGAGCAATAGTAGACTTATTTGGCAAAATAATAAATGGTAAATGGACTGTACTTATACAGCAGCGCCTTTTTGTCTTATCAAGACACTCAAAGCGCTTTACAATACAATCTGTCCCCTCATTGACCCATTCATACAGCACTCTACTAGATCTGTACAAAGATTAATCAGTGCTTTTTTTTTTAGATCACATTCATACACTGATGGGACACACATCAGAGTAATGAGGGGTTCAGTGTCTTGCCCAGGGACACTTCGGCATGTGACTGCTGGTGGAATCGAACCCCCAATTTTCGCATTGGAAGACGACTGCTCTAACCACTCATCCACATCCACCCCTAATAATAATAACAATAATAATAAGATAATAATAATAATGAGTGAATAATAATTGTTCTGCTACAATTATATCACGTTTTGGAAAGAAAAAGAAAAATTGACCTGTAACAAATAGGTAACCTCACTGAAACCCAGTTGTGATGTTATAAGCAGTTCTACTCGGGAGCTTTAAAACAACTTAAAAATAAACTTAATAATATAATAATAATAATCATTTTATTTAAAAAGCGCCTTTCATGACACCCAAGGACACTTTACAGTAAGAACAAAGATCAACAGGAATAATTTACATAAAGAATGTAAAATACATAAAGAATATAAAATACATACAGAATATACAATGCATAAAGAATATAAAATACATACAATTCAATTCAAAAATACTTTATTAATCCCAAAGGGAAATTATTTGTTGTTGTAACTCGTTATCCTCATTTCATTAAGAGATGTTATAGATGCTGATGGCTGTAGACAGGAAGGATCTCTTGTAAAGGTTCATCCCACAGTGGATCCTAAGAAACTGGCTGCAGATGTTGCCTGATCCGTCCACCCAGACTCAGCTGGCCTCTCGGTTCCCCCGGGCTGTAGGACTGCCCGAATGCCGAGCAGAACTCCTCCCAGAACAATGGCCACTCCTCCCAGCAGTCTGCCGAGCTCCTCATCGCTGCGGACAGCCGGCTGCAGGTGTCGGGGGACAATCTTGTCCTTCTGCTGTCATGAGCCGTGTTTCCTGCTAGTTCCAGGATCTCAGTGGTCAGGCACTCGAGCACAGCTGGCAGGTAGATGAGAATGTGTCCACAGAACATCCTTTTCAACTCATTTGAGATTTGGGGCTGTAGTTGAGATATTATTTGAGCTTTTGAGATGTTAATCAGCTGCTGTTGGTTGTAGAAAACTGCCTTGTTGCTATGGTTACGCATCATAACAAATGTCCAAAACTAAAACAGTTTCAGTAAAAATTCTTCCAGCTGCACAGCATCTGATACCAGAGGAAACATTTATCCAAAAAATTGTGATTTACATCCAGAAAAAGAGAAATTAATGTTTCCAAAAGTAAAATCTCAGAATGAAAGTAACAGAGCTGCTCCAACATGCAGGCTTTTTCAAGAACTTTGGAAATAAAGGGCAGATTAGAGATCGGACGAAGATTACTGAAGTAATAAGTAACGTAAATACTGATTTGAACAGCATCACTAGCTGTTATTCTAACTCTTGTTAAAAGCTGTATTGCTGGGCGTTGGGTTGTGTTTTGATTTTTATTTAAACTTTTATTTTACCAGGAAAGTAATCCATTGAGATTATTATTATTATTATTATTATTATTATTATTATTATTATTATTATTA